ATATGGCGTCTCCTTTTGACCTTTCCCATATTCTTCCCATTGGTGGTGGCTTGTGAACTCCATATTTCTTCCAGGCCCTCTTGTCGTAAAATAACACATAAATGGTTACTATGGTGCCTGGCCAGGGTGGGCAGTTTCAGTCAGTGTTTCTCCTAACATTTATGTTGTTTATCTCCAGCCTTGAGTCCATGTCTGTGTGCTACCTGCCTACCTGATTCCTCCTCTTGGGAAGCTTATAGGGATCTCAGGTATAACCTGATCAAAACACAGCCCTCCTTTTCAGACCCTCCCCCAAACGTGCTCAACGCTCAAACCCACAAAGCCCTCCGGTCTCAACAGCTTCTTAGATATGACCCCTGAAGCACAAGCAGCAGAAGGAAAAAATAGATAAATTTGATATCATCAAAATGAAAAACTTTTGTGCTTCAAAGGACACTATAAAGAAAGTCAAAAGACAGCTTATAGAATGGGAGAAAAAAATTTCCAAATCATATTAGCACCTAGTATCCAGAATATATAAGGAACTCTTACAACTCAACAATAAAAAATAGCCTAATTTAAAAAGGAACATAGGGGACTTCCCTGATGGCCCAGTGATTAAGAATCCACCTTGCAATACAGGGAACTAGAGTCTGATCGCTGGTCGAGGAACTAAGACCCCTCTTGCCATACAGCTACCAAGGCCGCACCCCTCAACTACTGAGCCTATGGACTCTGGAGGCAGCAGGCCACAAGAAAAGACAGAGCCCATGAGCCACAGGAGGAGATCCCACAGGACACACCGGAGACCCCAAGTGCTGCAACCGAGATCCAGCGCAGCCAAGCAAGTGGCGGATTTGAAGAGACGTTTTCCTAAAGGATGGCCAGCTGTGCGCCTGAAAGCACACACTACTGTAAACCGACTATTTGTTGTTGCTGTTGTTGGTGGTTGCTGAGTCGTGCCCAAGTCTTTTGTGACCCCATGGACTGTAGCCCACCAGGCTCCTCTGTCCATGGGATTTCCCAGGCAAGAATACTGGAGTGGGTTGCCATTTCCTTCTCCAGAGGATCTTCCCAACCCAGGGATTGAATCCCTGGTCTCCTGCATTAGCAGGCAAGTTCTTTATACCACTGAGCCAGCTGGGAAGCCCATAAATCAATTATACCCCAGTAAATATTAAAAATAAAAAGACCAAATACACCAGAAAAAAAAGAAGAAGAAGAAAGCTGATAGGACTTCCCTGGTGGCACAGTGGATAATAATCCTCTTTCCAATGCAGGGGACCCAGGTTTGATCTCTGGTCCAGAAAGATTCCACAAACCTTAGAGCAATTATGCCCATGTGCCACAACTTCTGAGCCCGCGCTCTAGAGTCCGAGAGCCACAGCTACTGAGCCCCAGCGCCACCACTACTGGAGCCTACGTGCCCTAGACCTGCACACCGCAGCTAGTGAAGCCCGCACGCCCAAACCTGTGCTCCTCGAGAGAAGCCCCCACAATGAGAAGCCTGCTTGCCGCAGCTAGGGAAAACCTGCACTCAGCAGTGAAGACCTGGTACAACCGAAAAAAGTGACTAATAAATGCTTGAAAAGATGTACAACATCTTTAGCCATTAGACAAATGCAAACCCAAACCACAGTGCGATACCACCTCACACCCACAAGGGTGGCTATAATTTTTTTTTTCTTAAGTAACAAGTGTTGAGGATGTGGAGAAATTGAATCCCTGTTAAGTTGCTGATAGGAAGGGGAAATGGTGCAGCCACTTTGCAAAAGTTTGCCATTTCCTTAAAAAGTTAAACGTAGAGTTACTATATGATCCAACCATTCTCCCTAGGCGTGTGGTCACACAAAAACTTACACGTGCATGTTCGTAGCAGTATTATTAATAATAATCAAAAGGTGGAAATAACCCAAATGTCCATCAATTGATGAATAGATGAACAAAATATATTCTAACAATGGAGTATTAGTTGCCTATTAAAAGGAAGGAAGCACTGATACACAATATCTTGGATGAACTTTGAAAATGTACTCTGTGTCACCAAAGACCACATGCTGTGTGATTTCCTTTTATATGAAATATCCAGACAAATCTGTGAAAGCAGATCAGGAATTGCTGAGTGGGAGGAGGGAGAAATGTGGAATGACTACTAATGAGAACAGGATTTCTCCTTGGGGTGATGAAAGTGTCCCGGAATTAGGTAGTGGTGAGAATTGCATGTCATGAATTAGCTAAAAGTCACTGAATTATATATACACTTAAGGGTAAACTTTATGATGTGTGAATTACATCTCAAAAAGATCAGCACTAATAAAGTACAATATATATCACATGCAAACCACCCTGTGAGATCCTCCGTCACTTCCTGTGTTTGTTTTCTATTACCAGCTGTGACAAATGGCCACATCGTCGCTTAAAAAGCACAAATTTATGATCTTCCATTTCTGTAGGTTCCAAGTCCGACATGGCTCTTGTTGGGCTAAAATCAAGGTGTCAGCAGGGGATTCCTACTGGAGGCTCTGGGAGAGTGTCCGCTTCCTTGCCGTTTCCAGCTTGTCTTTTCCACCTGCATTCCTCAGCTCACAGTCCTTCCATCTCCAAAGCCCACAACACTGGGCTTGACCCTATGTCATTGCCTCTCTTTCACTGACCACAGCCGGGAGAGTTTGTCCACTTTTAAGAACACATGATTAACCCCAATGTTCATTGCCGCATTGTTTATAATAGCCAGGACATAGAAGCAACCCAGATGCCCATCAGCAGACGAATGGATAAGAAAGCTGTGGTACATATACACAATGGAATATTACTCAGCCATTAAAAAGAATTCATTTGAATCAGTTCTAATGAGTTGGATGAAACTGGAGCCCATTATACAGAGTGAAGTAAGCCAGAAAGAAAAACACCAATACAGTATACTAACGCATATATATGGAATTTAGAAAGATGGTAACAATAATCCTATATGCAAGACAGAAAAAGAGACACAGATGTATAGAACAGACTTTTGGACTCTATGGGAGAAGGTGAGGGTGGGAAGATCTGAGAGAACAGCATCGAAACGTGTATATTATCAAGTGTGAAACAGATCGCCAGTCCAGGTTGGATGCATGAGACAAGTGCTTGGGGCTGGTGCACTGGGATGACCCAGAGGGATGAGATGGGGAGGGAGGTGTGAGGGGGGGTTCAGGATGGGGAACACATGTAAATCCATGGCTGATTCATGTCAATGTATGGCAAAAACCACTACAGTATTGTAAAGTAATTAGCCTCCAACTAATAAAAATAATTGGGAAAAATTAAAAATAAAAAAAATTAAAAATAAAAAATCTAAAAACAATGAAAAAAAAAAGGAACACATGATTAGATGTAAATCAGCTATGTATATATGCGTGTGTGTGCTCAGTCGTGTCCAACTCTGTGACCCCACAGACTTGTAGGCCTCCAGGCTCCTCTGTCCATGGGATTTTTCCAGGCAAGAATACTGGAGTGGGTTGCCATTTCTACTGTAATTCAATTTGAAAGAAAAAAGACACGTGAATTAGATTGTGCCCATTTGTGTAATCCAAGTTAATCCTTCCACTTCAAAGTCGCTAACATTACTCTTCTTGAGAGTTCTTTTTCTCTTGTAGGTGGTTCTGAGAATCACCATACAGACATCTCTGGGGGCCATTCCTCTGCCAATCACAGTTTCCATCACAGGTGAACAAAAGCCAGAGTCATTCTCCTGACTTACAAGACTCTCCAGTCAGCCCCGCCTGCCTCTCTGAGTTAACCATACGGCGGTCTCCCTCACCCCTTATTCTACAGCGTCCTGGTCCCTTAAGCCCACTGTTGATCATCCCTGGCTGCGCTGTGTCTTTCTTGCTGCACCAGGCTGTCTCCAGTTATGGAGAGCCGGGGCCACTCTCTAGCCGCAGTACTTGGACTCCTCGTCGCAGAGTCTTCTCTTGTGGAGCACGAGCTCTCGGGCCTGTGGGCTCCAGTAGTCGCTACATGTGGGCTCCAGAGCACGGGGCCAGTGGTTGTGGTGCCAAGAGGCACGAGGGAGCGTCCTGAACCTGGGATGGAACCGGTGTCCCCGGCATTGCAGGCAGATTCTTACACTGGACACCAGGGAAACCCCACGCCTGGGGCCTTGGCACTGGCTGTTTCCTCTGCCTAAACATTTACTCTCTGGGCCTCTTCCCGCCTGACTTCTCCTTGTCACTCTGATCTCGGCTTTGATGTCACCTTAGAGACTTGCACATTCCGCTAAGCCTTCTCGTCACTCTAGTCTAAGTGCCCAGAAAGCGCCTGCCCCGCTGACAGGGTAGGTTTGTTTGTGTGGGGTCTCACGTCCCCATCCTAACTGCTAGGGACCTCATGTGTGTCTCTGTGACACTGGAATCGTGCATGGCACCTAGGAGCAGCTAAGTTCTTGTTCTTCAGTCACTGAGTCATGTCTGACTCTGTGTGACCCCGTAGACTGAGGCACGCCAGGCTCCCCTATCCCTCGCCATCTCCTGGAGTTTGCCCAAGTTCATGTCCGCTGAGTCAGTGATGCCATCCAACCATCTCATCCTCTGTCACCCTCTTCTCCTCCTGCCCTCAATCTTTCCCAGCATCAGGGTTTTTTCCAGTGAGTCGGTTGTTTGCACTGGGTGGCCAAAGTATTGGAGCTTCAGCTTCAGCATCAGTCTTGCGAAATTAACATTGCAGGACACTGGGATAGTTCAGTTGGGGTTTTACTTATGCACCGAGAGGCTGCAATCGGGCAACATGTGAACAGCTTCCAAGTTACTGGACCTTGAAGTTTCATATTTGCGTTATTTAAATTTGCACTGTTTAAGGAGAAATGTTTTGAATATTTGAATATTACTGTTTGGATTTGGTACAAATTGAATTCATTGGAAATGCTACGGTTCCGTCCTTCCATAGGAAATTTCACCAGAACTGGCACTCAGTCTGGAGGATCTTTACTCTCGTGCCCAGAATGACTCCTCACCTCTCACGTGCTCCTGCCACCTCTCTTTCAGAAAGCATGCTCTGAATTGCCATCGGATGAAGCCTGCTCTCTTCAGCGTGCTCTGTGAGATCAAGGAAAAGACAGGTAGGCCGTTGAGAAGGCGCTTCCAGTGTGGATCCAGGAACACAACGACTTTGTACCTCTGGTCCTGGCTCAGTCCTAACACCCATCCTGAGCCATCATGCTCGCCACATCCCTCTCTGGCAGCAGTGGTTCAGATGATTCACTTCTGATTTGTCACAGCCCTGCTTTCTGGTGTATTACACTCATTTTATTTCATAGTTTGTAACCGGAAGGGTACTGTTGCCAGTGAGTAACAAGCAGCTGCATTCTGTGTATAAGACCTCAGAGGCATTGTGGCATTCCATTGTTTTACAAAAGGATCTAACATGACAGAATACAGAAAGTAGAATAATTTTGTTTTGCTTGTTTTAAGCATCCAAAGTAAGCCCCATGGAAGTTTCTGCCATTGGAAGTTCTTTTGTTTAAAAAAAAATCTTTTTATTTTGAATTAATTTAGACTTGCAGAGAGTTGACAGACTGGTACAGAACTGGTACAGTTCGCATATCCCCTTCTCCCAGCTGCTTCTAGTGGCAACACCTTCAAAACCATCATTGTTGTTCAGTCGCCCAGTCGTGTCTGACTCTGTGATCCCATGGATGGCAGCACACCAGGCTTCCCTGTCCTTCACTACCTCCCAGAGTTTGCTCAAACTCATGTCCATTGGGTCAGTGATGCCATCCAACCATCTCATCCTCTCTTGCCTCCTCCTCTTCCTGCCTTCAATCTTTCCCAGCATCAGGGTCTTTTCCAGTGAGTCAGCTCTTCACATCAGGTGGCCCAAGTATTGGAGCTTAAGCTTCAGCATCAGTCCTTCCAATTCAGGGTCGATTTCCTTTAGGATTGACTGGTTTGATCTCCTTGCTGTCCAGGGGACTCTCAAGTCATTTCTAGCACCACGGTTTGAAGGCATTAACTCTTTGATGATCAGCCGTTTTTATTGTCCAGCTTTCACATCCGTACATGACTAGTGGAAAAACCATAGCTTTGACTATACAGGCCTTTGTCAGCAAAATAATGTCTCTGCTTTTTAATATGTGTCTAGGTTTTTCATAGCTTTTCTGCCAAGAAGTAAGCGTCTTTTAATTTCATGGCTGCAGTCACCGTCCACAGTGATTTTGGAGCCCAAGAAAATAAAATCTGTCACTGTTTCCACAGTGCGGTGATTAAAACCAGGAAACTGACGTTGGTACAATGCTCTGTAACTGAGCAACAGGCCCTATTTGAATTCCCCTGGGTTTGGTCCTAAATGCCCTTTTCTGGTTCAGGATCCACATTGCATGTAGTCATCGTGTCTCCTTAGTTACCACCAGTCTGTGAAGTTTTCTCCATTGTTATTCCTCATTCATGACGTTCATACTTTTGCTGAGAACTGCTCAGTCATTTTATAGAGAGTCCTTCAGTGTGGTTTGTCCGTTGTTTCTACGTAATTAGACTGAGGTTGTGCGTCTTTGGCAGAAATCTCACAGAAGCAAGGTTGTGTACTTCTCAGCGCATCATGTCCGAGGTATGTGCCGTCAATAAATCCTACCGCTGATAGTTCTGACTTGATCACTTGGTCAAGGTTAATAATAATTTGAAGGTGTGTTTTGTTTTGTTTTGTTTTGTTTTTATTGCGCTGGGTCTTCGTTGTTGCTCACAGGCCTTTAGTTGCAGGAAACAGGGTCTACTTTTCGTTATGGTACATGGGCTTCTCATTGTGGGGGCTTTTCCTGTTGCAGAACGCAGGCTCTAGGCATGTGAGCTCAGTAGTCGCAGCACACAGGCTCAGTAGTCATGGCTCGGGGGCTCTGGAACATAGGCTCAGTAATCGTGGCACACGGGTTCACTTGCTCCGTGGCATGTGGAGTCTTCCCAAATCAGGGATCGAACTTGTGTCCCCTGCATTGGCGGGTGGTTTCCTATCCACCAGGGAAGTCCAAAAGTATGTTTCTTTCTCAACATGGTTTTGGTGCAAGATTGACGTATACTTGATGTGGACAGTGGCAGAGAGCGGTGACATAGTCTGAATTCCTTTTTGCTTCTGGTTCCATCACTCTGGCACATGACTGAAAATTTTCCTGTCCCTAGTCCTTCTCTGTGAATTGGGGACAGTGATAACACTTAGCTCATGATGACTGAAGACTGTGAGTTCATAGATGTAAGGTTATGTGTGCAGTGCCGGCCTCCAATAGTTATCTAGTGACTGAAAGAGAAATTCAATTTTAAACCTATTTAAGTTTCACCCAAATGCTGTAAAGACATAATAGTCTTTTTTCCCCCGAAGTTTGAATATTTTTTATTGTGATAAAATATACATAACAAAAAATTTGCCACTTCAACCATTTTTAAGAGTACAGTTTAGTGGTATTAAGTACATTCACATTGTTGTACAACCATCACCACCATCCACCTCCAACACGTTTTCATCTTCTTAAACTAAGACTTTTCCTAAGAACTAGCCTGTGGTATGAGTGTGTGCACTAAGTTGCTTCAATCCTTTCTGACTCTTTGCAGCTCTATGGACTGTAACTGCCAGGCTCCTCTGTCCATGGAACGCTGTAGGCAAGAATACTGGAGTGGGCTCCTCTGTCCATGGAATGCTGTAGGCAAGAATACTGGAGTGGGCTCCTCTGTCCATGGAACGCTGTAGGCAAGAATACTGGAGTGGGCTCCTCTGTCCATGGAACGCTGTAGGCAAGAATACTGGAGTGGGCTCCTCTGTCCATGGAATGCTGTAGGCAAGAATACTGGAGTGGGCTCCTCTGTCCATGGAACGCTGTAGGCAAGAATACTGGAGTAGGCTCCTCTGTCCATGGAACGCTGTAGGCAAGAATACTGGAGTAGGCTCCTCTGTCCATGGAACGCTGTAGGCAAGAATACTGGAGTAGGCTCCTCTGTCCATGGAATGCTGTAGGCAAGAATACTGGAGTGGGCTCCTCTGTCCATGGAACGCTGCAGGCAAGAATACTGGAGTGGGCTCCTCTGTCCATGGAACGCTGCAGGCAAGAATACTGGAGTGGGTTGCCAGCCCTCCTCCAGGGGATCTTCCCGATTCAGGGATCAAACTGGTATCTTTTACCTCTCCTGCATTGGCAGGTAGGTTCTTTACCCCTAGCACTACCTGGAAAGCCCAGCTCGTGGTGTATTTCTTTTTTAATTATTTTACCTTCTATGCACTCTGTAACCCAGAAATTTATATTCCATCTGGTTTACAAAGCCACTGTAGTTTGAGTGGTTGACGTTTGTTCTGATAAGTTTGTTTATGCGTGTTTAACTTTTTATTTTGAAACAATCACAGATTTACATAAATGTTCCAAGAATAGCACAAATACATTTTCTCCCTGCACTATTGGAGGGAAAGTTGCTGCCATGATGCCTCATGACCCCTGCACACTTGAGCACATTTCCAACAAACAGGGCACAGTCTCCTGTCTACCCACAGAACAACCAGCATGGTCAGAAGAGGAGCACTGATACATCACCCCCCATGGAATCTTCAGATCTCATTCAGGCTCTGCCAGCTGTCCCAATGATGTCTTTTAGAGAAAAGGACAAAAAGGGTCAAGGTCTCATGTTGCCTTTAGTTGTCACATCTCTTTGGTCTGTTCCATCTGTGGTAAGACCCCTGTCTCTCCTTGACTCTCATGCCTTGAGCATCTGGAAGATCACAGGCGAGCCCTCTTCATTTGGGCTTATCTGGTGTTTCCTCATGATTAGACTTCTACACATCCTCAAGAGGAAGCGGTGCCTCTTCTCACGCAAAGACTGCTCAGTCGTGCCCACATTTGCTCTGTCCCCTCTTGGTGACGTTACCTTTGACAACTCAAGTGAGGTGGTGTCCGCCAGACTTCTCCTTTTTAACATTGCTCTTTCCCCTTTGTAATAATTATTCTGCCAGAGGTACTCGAAGACTGAAAAGTGAAGTCTCTCAGTGGTGTCCGACCCTTTGTGACCCCATGGACTGTAGCCCACCAGGCTCCTCTGTCCATGGGATTCTCCAGGCAAGAATACTGGAGTGGGTTGCCATTTCCTTCTCCAGGGGATCTTCCCAACCCAGGGATCGAACCCCCGACCCAGAGGTCTCCTGCACTGCAGGCAGATGCTTTAATCTTTGAGCCACCACTACTTATTAAATTTCCCATTTATTCATTTTTGGGTTTTGTATGGCTATTGATTCATGGAGTGTTATTTAAAACAGTCAGTTACTATTGTAACTCTTTCCTTTCTCTCTCTCTTTTTTTTTGGCCATGCGGTACAGCTTGTAGAATCCTAGTTCCCCAACCAAGGGTGGAACCCGTGCCCCCTACAGTGGAAGCATGGAGTCCTAACCACTGGACCACCAGGAAATTCGCTCATTTCAGTATCTTTAATCAGTTCAGCAGCACAGGGTTCACTCTCTTTTTCTCTCTCTAGATTGGCACCTCATTTCTCTGACAGCCAGAGCCCTGCTCCCGTCATCCTTGGTGCTTTGTTTATTTAGTCACCCCCTTCGCTCTCATGTGTACCCCTCCTCCCCGCCCACATAGATCCCTTTCACCACCTCGCCCCTGGCCCGGAACCCCGCCAACTCCTGCTGGGTGTCCTCCTCACCCTCCTCAGCCTCCAGGGCCCAGAGCCAGGCCGCCTCCCTGCTGCAGGCAGGCCTTTCCCTACCAGGCTATAATGTCCCGCCCCTGAGCTCCTACTCAGGCACTTCCCACAGGTGTCTGAATGTCTAGTGGTCTGTCTTCTCTGTTCCTGATTTATGTATGTTTTTATGTGTGTTCCTTATTTTTATTATTGGGTAGAGATATTATGGCTTCCAGTAAACCAAGGTTGGGCTTTTGGGGGTTCATAAACAAGTTTGCTCTCAACACCTCACAGCACCTCCCTCCAAAGCTCTGTCTGAACCAGATAAGCAGCATTCCTGCAACTGAAAAAGCAGCACAACCCAAGAGACCTGTGGGCTGGAAGACACTGCCCTCGGGGACACGCCTGTGTGTGTCCAGCTCCTGGAGCTCCTGGCACAGTCACACGCTCCCTAGGACCACGTGGACTGTGT